CGGCCCAACACGTGGTTTACAAATACGAGGCCCTGAAAGAAGAACCCAAAACCTGCGGGCTCCTCAACAACTCCTGGGAGCAGGACTCGAGTGACCCCACTGACGAGCTCTTCAAATCCAGCAACAGCCCCGAGGTGAGGGGAGGCTGTCCCCACTGAAAATCGGGAATGTGGGGTTGTAGGAGAAGCCTAAATAGCAAAAATTCCACTTTTTTTTTACCTTGGGGGACCTTAGAAAAAGAAAGGATTTAAACACAGGGAAATGGGGTCAGGTCTTAGAAACTCCAGTGACCCCATTTTCAAATCCAGCAACAGCCCCGAGGTGAGGGGAGGCTGTCCTGACCAAAAACGGGAATTTGGGGGTGTAGGAAAAGACTAAATAGCACAAATTACACTTTTTTCTGGGGAATCTCCAAAAAGGGAATGGATTAAACACAGGGAAATGGGGTCAGGACTTAGAAACTCCAGTGACCCCACTGACGAGCTCTTCAAATCCAGCAACAGCCCCGAGATGAGGGCGTTTTTGGCTTTCCCGACCGAAAAAATGGGAATTTGTGGTTGTAGGAGAAACCTAAATAGCAAAAAGTCCACATTTTCTGGGGGAAACTTGAAAAAAGGATTGGTTGAATGTGGGGAAACGGGGTCAGGTCTTAGAAACTCCAGCGACCCCATTTTCAAATCCAGCAACAGCCCCAAGGTGAGGGGAGGCTTTCCTGACCAAAAAACGGGAATTTGAGGGTGTAGGAAAAGCCTAAGTTCCACTTTTTCTGGGGAATCTCCAAAAAAGGAATGGATTAAACACAGGGAAATGGGGTCAGGACTTAGAAACTCCAGTGACCCCATTAATGGCATCTCCAAATCCAGCAACAGCCCCGAGGTGAGGGGAGGCTGTCCTGACTGAAAATGGGGAATTTGGGGTTGTAGGAAAAGCCTAAGCAGCAAAAATTCCACTTTTTTGGAGGCATCTCCAAAACAGGGCTGGATTAAACATGGGGAAATGGGGTCAGGTTTTAGAAACTCCAGCAATCCCATTAATGACATCTTCAAATCCAGCCCCAAGGCGAGGGCGAGGCTGTCCCATCTAAAAAATGGGAATTTGGGGTTGTAGGAAAAGACTAAATAGCAAAAATTCCACTTTTTCTGGAGGAAACTTCAAAAAAGGAATGAATTAAACTTAGGGAAATGGGGTCAGGTCTCAAAAATCAGAGCAAATCTTCTAGATTTGAGATTTTCAGCTGATTTAAACCCTTTACTGACAGGTGCCCAGTGCACCTTTAACACCTAAATTCTCATTAATATCTCCCTTTCCATCCAAATCCAAATAAAAATCCAAATAAAAATCCTAATAAAAATCCTAATAAAAATCCCAATAAAAATTTCAATATCCAGCCAACTTTTCATCATTTAAACCCAAACCAATCCCATTCTGAATGACCTGGCTGAGGAAATCCCCTCAATAATTCATAAACAGCTTTAAAATGGCAAAATTTGGGGATGGGAAAAGCCCTTAAAATAATTTAAAATTTATAATAAAATTTAAATTGATATTAAAATAAAATTTAAAATTTATTATTCTTTCAGATGAAAGCTTACCTGAAAGCAAAGAAGTACCTGGAGCTCTACATCGTCGCAGACAATGCCTTGGTGAGTTTTGGAATTTATTTTTTTTTATTTTTGAGCAGCTCCAGAGGAAATTCCCAGTGTATCCCAACTCAAATTCCATAAAAAAGGTTCCTGGCTGGGAAAAGGGGCTCCTGTAGAGGATTGAGTTGGGAATTCCCACCTGGAGGTGAGAAAAATTCAGAAAAAACCTTGAAATGCTTGTGCTGTTGGAATTTGCTGAGCTGGAAGGGAATATCCTGAATTAAAAGGAAATATACTGAATAATGTCCTGAATTAAAAGGGAATATCCTGAATTGAAAGGGAATTTCCTATTTTAAAAGGGAATTTCCTATTTTAAAAGGGAATTTCCTGAATCAAAAGGGAGTTTCCTGAATTAAAAGGGAATTTCCTGAATTAAAAGGGAATTTCCTGAATTAAAAGAAAATATCCTGAATTAAAAGGGRATTTCCTGAATTAGAAGAGAATAACCTGAAATAAAAGGGAATTTCCTGAATTGAAAGGGAATYTCCTGAATTAAAAGGGAATTTCCTGAATTAAAAGGGATCATCGAGCCCAGCTCCGCACAGAAATTCCATTTTTGGAAGGGGCCGATTTGAAACCCAACATCTGATCAAATCCCGCATCAAACAGATAATTTTATATAAAATATAATTTTTAATGAAGTATAATTTTTGATAAAGTAAGATATCTTATATAAAGTATATTTTTTTATACGTGGTGTGGTTTGCAAATATTTATTTCCTGACACGCTCTGTTTGCTTTTTCAGTACAAGAAATACGATGAAGACGTTAAAAAYATAAGACAGAGGATTTTTGGAATTGTCAATTACATCAACACGGTGAGAGCAAACCCATATTTGAATTCCAGGTTTACAAAGCCATCAACACCCACGTGGCTCTGGTTGGGCTGGAGGTGTGGTCGGACGGTGATTTATTTAACAATAATAATCTGTTTAATTTCCATAATAGTTTGTTTGAATGAATTATATATAAAATATACAATATTTTTCATGGATGAATATTGTAATTGCAGGTTTATAAAGCCATCAACACCCACGTGGCTCTGGTCGGGCTGGAGGTGTGGTCGGACGGCAATTTATTTAACAATAATAATTCATTTAATTTTAATAATAATCAGCTTTGTTTGAATGAATTATATATAAAAAGTACAAATTTTTGAACGGATAAATATTTGAATTCCAGGTTTATAAAGCCATCAACACCCACGTGGCTCTGGTGGGGCTGGAGGTGTGGTCGGACGGCGATTTATTTAACAATAATGATTTGTTTTATTTTTAATAATTGTTCGTTTGATTTGAATGAAATATATATAAAATATACAAATTTTTGAATAGATAAATATTGTAATTCCAGGTTTATAAAGCCATCAACACCCACGTGGCTCTGGTGGGGCTGGAGGTGTGGTCGGACGGTGACAAATGTCCCCTGAGCAGGAARGCCGGTTTCACCCTCGACGCCTTCTCCAAGTGGCGCCTGTCGGATTTGCTGAAGAGGAAACGCAACGACAACGCTCAGCTCATCACGTGGGTGC